ACACTAGTGAAAAACATATTCCACGACTACTGCATATCACTGCGAATATCGCGTTTTCACCGAGTGAAAACGAGCATGGGGCTTACCTTGGGCGCCGGTTTGAATAGCAAGATTGGCTCGGCGATCCTCATCGGTCTCGCCTCCTCGTAGTTCCCAAGTCTTGCTGCTTTCATCAAAATAATATCGATTCTTCACCCCTACCTGATTTTGAAAACGATTAATATGAAAATTCCTTTTTTGTGTCGTTTTAACCCATAGAGCAGTGTTGGTGGTATCTATATTTGCTTTCCTCACTAACTAGAGAAGCCTATCTACAAATTCGAGAAAACGTGTATAAAAACCAACGATAATTTCCGACAGAGCTTCTCAAAATTTTCCCAACACTGCCAGAGAGAGTCGTGAACTCGGCTAGTAAGCGTTTGACCGGGAATATGCATATGGTCAACTACATGTGTTGGTGACAACTGTAATTTCAAGTCGTGTGTAAATGACCAGCTGATAAAACACAATCAATTTATATACAACTGTGTAGCAGTCACTCGCCACGAAACTATACCTCGCGTTGTTCGACGCACATGCCGCCGACCCAGTCCGCGATGGAGCTCCAGAAAGCAGAAACGTTCATGCAGTTCGACTTCTCTTCCTCCTCCTCTCCTTCTTCGTGCCGTGGGGAAGCTGACGTCATGATGATGTTGCTGGGAGTAAACTGAATGATGCAAGTGAAGATATTTCGTTCGGGACCGAGATTAGCAACGCTATACGCAAGCAAACAACAACGTCATCTCGATCCCTCTCATCCATCGAACTCGTTCTGGCTCTACTGCAGAGTGCCAGAAACCTATAATGTTCCCGAGAGGAACTCATTGTTGAATTTTCCACGTATGGCTAGGAACACATTCTTCAATCAGTTCCCCCCCCATGTAAATGTCATTATCACATTAGTAACATTATTTTCCTCATTGTTATCAAACCCTAGGGAACGTGATTTCTCAAAGGTAGATGGATTCCTGATATGAGGCCTAAGACATAACAAATGTATGCGCTGCTGTGTGTTGGTCACTTTTCGCTGTTAACATCTTTATATGTAATCGCTTGAATGAGAGCGTTGGGGAGTATAACGCTGCAATTAATACTACTAACATCGGTTCTGAAAAATTCTAATGAGCCCAGTTTTAAAATCGTTTTCTGAAGCCAGCTCCAAAACTGATTTTGGCTGCAACTTGCAACACATTCCCGAGGATTTGGGTTCAGCAATACCCAAATTCTTTATCATCGTGTACATCATCACAATTCTGACATCAGATGAATTCACTCCTCCTCTCGGAGACTCCAAATTGAATCGCTCTAGCCGTTTCACGACCAGCAAAATATTATAAAAAATACCAAGTATAGATATGATCTCCACGATGAGATTTTGTGCAACTGTTGTTATATAAGAACGCATCGCAGAGGAATCTTGAAAGCTCCCAGAGTGAGATAGAGAGTCTGAATCACCCAGGGTAGAGTTATAGACATTTGATGCGTGACCATCATAAACGTAGTTACCAATATCCTCTGTGATGCCTCCAACTGTGTGAAAAGTATCATCACCATACTATGGAGATGATACTTAGGGTTTAGTCGTTCTTCCTTGGATTTTGTAATTAAGCGGCTTGCGTTATTGTAAGTAGCGTTGAGGAAATGCAAGTGAGCAAGATTTGCACGACTCTAGCAAGATTCCGTGACGAGTTGAAATGTTGGTGACATTTCCTTGACTTCGGAGGTCTCCTCTCAATGTTGCTGGCCCCGCTGCGGTGAGCCTGATATTCGGTGGTTGGTATATATGTTTGATTTACTCTTCCTTCACGACGTCGTCGTGTTGGTGGCATGAATAGATTGCATCGTCTCTGTGAAAGTATCTCGACAATTCGGCGGTGGTGCTAGACGACGAGGGGTTATGCAACTGAGAACCCATCTAGTTTTGAGAAATAACGATCCCCAGGGTTTGATAACAATGAGGAAAAATAATGTTACTAATGTGGTGATGACATTCACATGGGGGGGGGAACTGATTGAAGAATGTGTTCCTAGCCATACGTGGAAAATTCTAAATGAGTTCCTCTCGGGAACTTTATAGGTCCCCCCTGTTAGAATTCCTTACGATTAGGAAGACCCTCCAACTCCACTACTGATCTTCGGTATGCTACATGGAGTACGGAGTTACCTGCTTGATTTGGAGGCGAGTTCGCCGGGAGATGGTATAGTTCTCCATTGTGACATCGACGACCGCTTATGAAGAGCATAAGATTGATATCGCCCGAGCTGGTGAAGCTGTTGGCGGCATTGATCCAATTTACATCAGTCAGTGCGTTACTACTTGGAGGAATAGAGATGCAGCAGAAGAGCTGGGACGGGGGGATTGCACAGCACCCATCTATTGCCAGATGCTGTGTTTCCTAGGCTAGATCTCACTGGTGGTACTGGGCTATTCTCAATACGTTGGTACTCAAGTAGGAGTGCGATAAAGCTAGTCGTCTTATTGCTCACTCCGTGAACCTTAGTTATATGATAATTCTATCACATCTACTACACTATAGGGTATATTTCGCGCGCGCAATCTTATGCATGGTTCGTCTTTTAGCCGCATCCTATGAATTTAACATTGATTAAAGTGTACTAGAGCTCAACCACTCTTCTCGTTGTAGGAGAGAGTAAAGGAGTAAAAACAAGTATGAATACAATTGTTGGGAATAGGGAATCACTACTCAGCTTAGCTTCAGCTCATCGATATCTTGTCGTCACGACACAGCGCACAATCCTATATCATTCTCTCACACAAGTCCGATCGTGCTTAGTTGTTCAGCAGTGGTGAGTGTTGGGAAGCGAGTTCGACGAAGAGGTGCATCGCTGATCCGGCGCTCACCACAAGATGGAGTGAGCGATCACTCTTACTCCATAGTGACCAAGAGCTTCCATAAGAAGACTTCTTGGATCTGTGTTTGTCAAAAGGAGGAAGGGCGTAAATGCTCATCATCACCGTAGTTGGTTTTCCCCCTTTCTAGTTGTTACCAGATGCCCGAGAATTCGCGGTAAGTTTAGGAAAATACAATCGTCGTGCGAAAATATGCATTTATCGACCCTAGTGATATGAAAAATTATATTTCACGACTACTGCATATCACCGTTTTTCACAGAATATTACGCCACTTCACGTAAAACGGGTAAAACTTCAGTCCTGACAATACGAGGAAATTTACTGTTGGTTTTTGTACACTTTTTCCCGAATTTTTGTAAAATTAGCTTTGGAAACTCCCGAGCTCAGCTGAGGAAAGCGAACATATATTCCTATATAGAGGTATAAGTCACCAGATACTACGACCCAGGGCGGCAACTACTTCTGAGTTTTTTCAACTCTGGAAATTCAGCAGTAGGAAATTTTCATCAGCACCATGTTGTTCATGCGTGCTGTCAGGCTGTTCATGCGCCTTCGGACCTCGTAGCGTTGGAGAGTCGACATGAATCACTCGAGGAGAGTTTAGATTGGCTGAAGACCTTGACGTAGAGATGAGCAAACTTGTGAAAAATTTTCATCGAAAATTTTTTCAGATATATTGCGATGATATTATCGGCACTTTCGGTGCTCTCGCCGCTGCCAGACTTCATAGAAATGTTGAGGAATAAACGCGTGAAAGGATCTGCACTGCCGTACTCGATGCTGTTCACCCAGGTTGGTGATGGAGAAAATATAAACGCTTGTGAGAGAATTTTTGTTGGGCTCTGTAAACTTTTGTAAAGGTGAGGAAAGTATGTCGTGGAGTGGCTGAAAAATTATTAGGAGAAAATTGTGAATTGTAAGTAATCTATAAAAGTGTGGGAAAATATGCACATGGTTGAAAAAAGGAGGAAAATTTGAGGAAAATTTTGGAAAATTATTGTTGGTTTTTATACACTTCTGCCCGAGTTCGCCTATAATTACTAAGGGAACCCCCGAGCTCAGCTGAGGAAAGCGAACATATATTCCTACTCCAACACTGTATAGGAAACTCCTGAGCTCAGCTGAGGAAAGCGAACATATATTCCTACTCCAACACTGTATAGGAAACTCCTGAGCTCAGCTGAGGAAAGCGAACATATATTCCTACTCCAACACTGTATAGGAAACTCCTGAGCTCAGGTGAGGAAAGCGAACATATATTCCTACTCCAACACTGTATAGGAAACTCCTGAGCTCAGCTGAGGAAAGCGAACATATATTCCTACTCCAACACTGTATAGGAAACTCCTGAGCTCAGCTGAGGAAAGCGAACATATATTCCTACTCCAACACTGTATAGGAAACTCCTGAGCTCAGCTGAGGAAAGCGAACATATATTCCTACTCCAACACTGTATAGGGAACTCCTGAGCTCAGCTGAGGAAAGCGAACATATATTCCTACTCCAACACTGTATAGGAAACTCCTGAGCTCAGGTGAGGAAAGCGAACATATATTCCTACTCCAACACTGTATAGGAAACTCCTGAGCTCAGCTGAGGAAAGCGAACATATATTCCTACTCCAACACTGTATAGGAAACTCCTGAGCTCAGCTGAGGAAAGCGAACATATATTCCTACTCCAACACTGTTGTTTTTGGCATAGTCTGAACCCAGTGTGGGCATATATGTTTGGTTACCCCAACTGATGCATACACGAATCTGTGTAGAAGTGTACGAAAACCAACAACATTTTCCCTAAAATTTTCCCAGAAATTCCATATTTTTTCCAACACATGTAGTTGACCATGTGCGTATATTCTCAGGCTTATCTGTGGGTGTGGTACGGTTACCTCACGGCACATTGGGACATCTTCCATATAAATCTGCTCGCAGTTTTCATCTCGATATTTTACGTTGGCGTGTTCGCTTTCTATGATGCTGATGCGTTCAACAGATTTACTACAGTGCTTGTGGTAACTACAGTGGTGGTTGCGGCCTTGGTATGTGATACGAACATTTCTGATGCGAAATTGAAGATTGAAATATTTGCATTCAGTGCAACTACTCTGAGCATAATTTTGTGCGCCTCCCCAACTCCCCAAATAGTGACGGTGATTCGATCGAAGTCTCTAGAGGGGTACCCTACTGCCCTGACAGTTGCTGGGTTCATATCGTCGTGCTTGTGGGCGCAATGCAGCATACTTATGCACTCCTTACCTTACCTCGTCCCGAACCTGGTTGGTGTGCTTTTCAACGGCGTCCAGCTGGTTGTGGTGATATGGATCTACGCTAGAGCTCCGCCGGAGCCTCCTTTGGTGTCACCACAAACTTCTACTGCGACGGAAGTAATTCCGCGTTTGATCAGCTATAGAAAAAAAGCAGATGTGTTTGGCAATAGTGATCGATTTACGGTATATGGCAGTGTATTTTCAGCAGCTAAGGAGTAGAGCTGGACAATTTACCATTTTGAGATCTACATGTTCATGACGATGTATGAATACTCGGGGAGAATCGTGTTTGTTAATGGACACCTGTTTTGGGATGTTAACGTGAGGTGAGGAAACTATGGTGAGATTGCCATAGTTTCCTTGGGAGAGAATTTTCTCGGATGGGCTGGCACCTGTTTTCCCACTACTCCGACTCGGCTGAGGAGGATGTTGACATTTTCCTTCACATTATCCCAGAGTTTTCATGATAATGTTTTCCTCTTATCTGCTCGTCATCTTGCCACTCGCACTAGGCTGGGCTCCGTATGTGGGGGTAAGTCATAATAGTCTGTTTTCAATTTATAATCATCTTAGAATCGCGTGGATGGAAAACTCTCGACGGCTGCCTGGGGATCTCTAGGGGCGTCTTCGCCGGAAAATCCTGAGGTATAGAAACTGCGAGGATGATCCCGGATAGTTTTTGGCAGATTCTCCAGCCTTCTGATGTTGAGGATGCCAGCACGGAAACTCCAACGGCAGAGGAGGTCACGGAGGAGCTCGAGGGGAAGCAGCCTCATTCGGTAGGATGCATTCGGAAGTTCTTGGGAGAGCTGGCTGGGGTGGTAGGTGCCTTGGGAGAGTGAGGGGGCGACCCCGATGCCCCCTGGGGAGGAGGAGGAGGAGGAGGGAGGGAGCCCCTCTCCCTTGGGGCCGTCGAGGGAGGATGTGCAGGAACCTCTTGGGATAAGAGACATGGAGGGTGAGGATGGATTGGGAGTTGAGGATAAGGGGAACGAGGGGGAGGAAAGTGAGAGGGAGGAGAATGCGGAGGAGAGTGCAGAGGAGGGTGGTGGAAAGGCGAATTCGGACGAGACTGAGGGAGAGGAGAGTTTGGGAGAGAGTGAGGGAAAGGAAAGTGAGAGGGAGGAGAGTGAGGGACGAGAGAGTGTAGAGGGAAGAGAGAGTGTGGAGGGAAGAGAGAGTGTGGAGGGAATTGAGGGGAAGGAGAATCTGGATGAGACTGAGGACAAGGCGACTGAGGAAAGAGAGAGTGTGGAGGAGAGTGAGGGAAAGGCGACTGAGGGGAGAGAGAGTGGCGAGGAGAGTGAGGGAAAGGAGAGTGAGGGAAAGGCGACTGAGGGAAGAGAGAGTGAGGGAAAGGAGAGTGAGGGAAGAGAGGGTGAGGGGAAGGGGAATTTGGAGGAAAGTACAGTGGATGGTGGTGGAGGAGAGAATTCGGACGAGACTGAGGGAGGGGAGAGTAAGGAAAAGGAAAGTGAGGGGGAGGAGAGTGCGGAGGGAAGAGAGAGTGTGGAGGAAATTGAGGGGAAGGAGAGTGAGGGAAAGGAGAGTGAGGGGGAGGAGAGTGCGGAGGGAAGAGAGAGTGTGGAGGAAATTGAGGGGAAGGAGAGTGAGGCGAAGGAGAGTGAGGGAAAGGAGAGTGAGGGAAGAGAGGGTGAGGGGAAGGGGAATTTGGAGGAAAGTACAGTGGATGGTGGTGGAGGAGAGAATTCGGACGAGACTGAGGGAGGGGAGAGTAAGGAAAAGGAAAGTGAGGGGGAGGAGAGTGCGGAGGGAAGAGAGAGTGTGGAGGAAATTGAGGGGAAGGAGAGTGAGAGTGAGGGGAAGGAGAGTGAGGGGAAGGAGAATCTGGATGAGAGTGAGGAAAAGGCGACTGAGGAAAGAGAGAGTGTGGAGGAGAGTGAGGGAAAGGCGACTGAGGGGAGAGAGAGTGTGGAGGAGAGTGAGGGGGAAAATGAGAAGAGGGAGAATGAAGGAGAGGACAAGGAGATTGAGGCGGAGGACAGTGCAAAGGAGAGTGAGGGGCACATAGATCAGGATTTGCAAAATGAGGATGAGGATAACGAGAGCGACGAGCAAGCGTTTATAACCAGGCCTATTCCCGCCGACCACCCTCCCATAGAGGAGGAGGAGGAGATGTTATCTTCTCCTACAGTCGCCCAGCGCTACAGCAACAGCCCGGGCAACCTCCATGTCGAGCGAGGTCTCCCTATATACGACGGAGAAACTCTACCGCGACTACAGACTAGCACTCAGGGGGCAGATTTCGAGAGCTCTGCTCGGGCGGGTGGTACGTGGCGGTCACAGAATGCTGATGAGGAGGAGGAAGGTCGGAGTGGGAGTGAGCTCGACTGTTGGTATGGTCTTTAGTAGATATCAAATGGCTACCTAGTCCGCCAGAAATCCCGGGGTTTTCAGAGGAAACAACTGAAGTGATATGTACATCTGTAGTTGGTCGAACACTGTCTCTTCAGGAGCCTCCGATGAGCAGCGCTCCGGTGGCTAGCAATCGCACTCTGCGCGGAATAAGGCCTAGGGAGATGGCGCCCAATTCGCAGAGTACGGCTTTCAACTTCCGGTGGTCATCTGGAGACTCATCACATGGTGGGAAGAGTCGAGTCGGGTTGTGTGGTAGTTTGCGTAGGTGTGCTCCCACCAGTGCTCCTAGGGCAGATCGAAGAAGTCCCGAAAATTATCTTTACGGACCCGACGATAGTAGAACGGCAGGAGTCGATTGAGGTGAGAAAATTTTGGGAGAATTTTTGTGCATTTTTTTTTCGAAAATATGTGTTTTTTCCACAATGTTGTTTTCAAGGTGAAGATTTTGGCGGATACTATGCATGTGGAGCTCCATCATCACGTTGGGGCTTCCATCGTCGGTAGCGACATCGCAGGGCGAAGTGTTGTTATTTACTTCCCGACTGACTCTGCAGCACAGGAGGGCTTTCAACTGTTCACCTCTCGCATAAGAAATGTAGGACGAGCGCTAACTGAAAATGAGAACTCCCTTGCTGTTGTCAGACGGAGGTTTATCTACAATGATGATTTCCACGAGAAATCTGTCGTCTTGTACGGTCAGGCTAAGCTGAGGTTGTTTTGTGCCTAGTTGGCACTTTCGTGTTTTAATGAAATTTCTATCAATTTATTCTCACTATCTCTTCCGCATGTTGATGTGATGTGAGTTACTCGAGAAGTCGACATGTCGCGTTATGCGAGTGTAAGGGAGGTTGTCTACTTGTGAGCATCTAACACCTGTTTGCTGTTGCTTGCGTGTCTCTGTTCATCCTGACAGCTGAGAACCTGGCAAAGAGTAGAGGGCACTCCGAGACGGTCTGTATTGTGTAAAAATTTGAGTCAAACTGAACATTCACTTTAATATTTCGATATTGGGGGCATTTCAAATCCTCAGGCGTCCTTGAGTGATGCTCTACGTGGTTCGTAGGAAGCTATGTCTCGCAATAAGATGATGATTCATACGCTGTTCCGTTCAACGATGAAGATGCCCTTATGATGTTGCCGCCGAGCCCACTCTTGACAATGTCACTATTTGAATCCACATGGTGGTCTGTATTCCGATAACTTTCCAGGGGAGTATTATCTGCCATGATTAATAATTTGAACCTCACTGTCAGATACACAACAAATGTTATCCACAGCTAGTGTCGAACTGAAGGTCTCGCTCAGAGGTCCCGACTCGGTGTGATGAATCCAGATTATTTATAAGCGACTTTGGCGCAGTAGGTAGCGCGTAGGTCTCATAATCTTAAGGTCGCGAGTTCGATCCTCGCAGGTCGCATTTACTTACTATCCTACGGCCTATCGCATACTACATGGCCCTCTTCATAAGCCTCAGGTGCTCCCTACACTATGTAGTTCCAGCAAGAAGACGTCGGATATAACCAGTGAGTCTATCGATGGAACTCGTGAGGAGTCTGAGGCCATGATCAATGTTCCCCCGGCTAGCGATCATAATGCCACCCTCAGTGGATCCGCTCTTAACCCTGTGGATTCTTACAATGGAGATGATGGTGATACTGCGGGGGGGGGGAGATAGTACCTTGCAGAGTGATCGACCCCAAGTACCATTGTGAAGCACTCGGTGGACCGTTTCAGAGGTGATTTTGAATCACCTCCTTACTCTCCCTATTCTCTAAGCTATAACGACTAGCTATTTTTTAGTATGCTCATCAGTGAGGAGTTCCCATTTTTTCCCACGTGGATTAGAAAAAAGGGCCCAAACACCGAGATACTATGTACACATCAGGATTGTTCCTTGTCGTGATAGCGAACTACTCGTGACTTCCTTGCTTTCTGGAATCCCCCTATCAGCGTCAATGACGAATTATCCTTTTCTATGGGTTCATCATTACGAACTTCGACTCGATAAACACAAAACCTTTTCTATCTCGAGACTCTATTCATTCAATACGTTTCCGCTTCAACTTAGACGATCGTTTGGTCACCTCTCCCATCATCGACTCAACGTAGGGGTTGAAACCACCATAGGACCTATCCGCGATCGAATTAACGACTTCGAGAGACATCAGCCTTACCTGCGTCCATGCAATACAACTTGCTTCAGAGGCTGCCCTGGCTGCCGTATTGCGACATCAGCCGACTTGCAGTCTTTGAACCCCGGCACGCTCCACTCTAACCTCTTCCGTATCTGACAAACAGTTCATAACAATTCCACCAAATATCAACATCATAATCACCGCCCTCTGCTCTTGCTCCAGCTTCTGCTTAGCTGTCAGCTCGGCGCCTCGACTCATGAATCTCAACTTGCTCACCGCGGTGGACAACCCGGCATTCTCATCTGTCGCTGAAGCAGCCATGGAAACCGATTCTAATCCTCCTATTGCACAAGCTTACGCATAAGAACCGTCGAATTTCCTCCTACTGTGAGGAGACTTCTCGAACACATTTAGTTTGAAGTAGCGAGCTTTCCCACTCCCAACAGTTCCTCCGAATTCGCGAAATTCACAGAACTATCGCGGGGCCCAAGACGTAACTCAAAACTAAAGTTTGTGTATGTGTGAGATACTAACGGCGTATCATACTGCTACTTCGTAATCCCTTCACTCTTCTTACAGACGTCTACCCCTCATTGAACCTGAACGATAAAACGTCTCCGGGGAGATTCGAACCTGCGCCCCCCTATACCAACACTTACCAACCGGAGGCGGACGCACGAAGGCCCAATCAGCTGTAACCGGCGTTTCCAAGATCATTTTTCCGCTCATACCTGCACCAACCACCTACTAAGGTAGCAGCAGCAGGGTATTCCTCACCAGAAATGGCGCTTGAGGCTTCCGATTTACTCTCATACTCGATGAGACAATACCCCTTCACGAAACCTGATAGCAGTGAACCCAGTATTGCTCTCCTCAGCTTGGGAGTTTCCTCACTAATTAGGGTAGAAATGTACAGAAACCAACGCGAATTTGCTCATAAATTTCATATTGTCACCAACACATGTAGTTGACCATGTGCATATTTTCCCCCTACTAAAACGAACCCATCTGATTACCTGTACGCCGATCCAGATTCAAATGCAAGTTACGAACATCTCCAAACTCCATCGCAACCTGAACATTTTTTCAGCGAGCGTTTCTCTGAAAAAAAATCTACCTCCATCACGTCGTCCTCCTGCGTTTCCTCATGGAGTCCAGTAAGGAAGATCACCCACCCCTCGATAGCTGATTACAAACAATAAAAAGAAACTCCCTACACCTGAGCTCATCTCACATCTCGCGGGAGCTCCCGGCTGAGTAGCAGCTGAAGACTCCGAGTCCGTGTCCATCGAAGTCGCCCCCTCAGCACCAGAATCCAAAGAATCGAACACTCCGGACTTTCCCGAGTATCTAAATCATATATAACTCTTCTTGTTGTCATCCGAGCTGTACCTGTCTTCGCTGATGCTCGCCATAGTTAATACGGAGATCGGCCGAAAGGAAGAGGACCAAACTACGATGAAATCCTATTGTCACTATAACACCAATCAGCAATTGTCGAGGAGGTAGAAACAATATCGTAGTACTAGATCATTTACGTTAGTAATAGACAACAACGTTGGTAAGTAGCGAAGGGTTGATCACGTGGAGGGAACCTTGGACGCCTTCGCCTTACCCCCTTTCTTCTGAGATCAAACAGTGTCGAAAATAACGGCTGGTCAATCCTACTTGGAACTTCCGTTTCTTCAACGCTTTCGCCTTCTGAACCTGCATAGTAATATTCAAGGAAAAAGCGCACGCCCTGGTGATCGATTGTTGAGCATTTTCAAACTTACTTCTTCCTTGCTAGGTTCTACTTCCTCTTGAGCCTTCTGAGTTGCCCTGAGAACCCCAAGACGTAACAGAGTGGGAAAGCATGCACATGGTCAACTACATGTGTTGGTGACAATACGAAAATTCGAAAAATTTTCTCGATAATTCTTATTGGTTTCTGTACAAATTCTTGTATAATTAGTTCTAGGAAACTCCTGAGCTCAGCTGAGGAAAGCGAACATATATTCATACTCCAACACTGTATAGGAAACTCCTGAGCTCAGCTGAAAAAAGCGAACATATATTCCTACTCCAACACTGTATAGGAAACTCCTGAGCTCAGCTGAGGAAAGCGAACATATATTCCTACTCCAACACTGTATAGGGAAATCCTGAGCTCAGGTGAGGAAAGCGAACATATATTCCTACTCCAACACTGTAGAGGAAACTCCTGAGCTCAGCTGAGGAAAGCGAACATATATTCCTACTCCAACACTGTAGAGGAAACTCCTGAGCTCAGCTGAGGAAAGCGAACATATATTCCTACTCCAACACTGTATAGGAAACTCCTGAGCTCAGGTGAGGAAAGCGAACATATATTCCTACTCCAACACTGTATAGGAAAATCCTGAGCTCAGGTGAGGAAAGCGAACATATATTCCTACTCCAACACTGTATAGGAAACTCCTGAGCTCAGCTGAGGAAAGCGAACATATATTCCTACTCCAACACTGTATAGGAAAATCCTGAGCTCAGCTGAGGAAAGCGAACATATATTCCTACTCCAACACTGTATAGGAAACTCCTGAGCTCAGCTGAGGAAAGCGAACATATATTCCTACTCCAACACTGTATAGGAAACTCCTGAGCTCAGCTGAGGAAAGCTGAGCTCCTACTTCTGCTTCTCCTAGCTGAGGAAAGCTAAATCCAATCCATCGCGACTCCTACTTCTGCTTCTCCAATTTCCGTCTTTTCTTCGACATTTTCAGCTGCGTTTTCTTTTCCTCAGGAGGCGGCAGTTTACCCTCTTCTTGAGGGAAATCGTCCATCACAGAATCCATGAACTCAGTAGTCCTGAAAAAAAGCAATCTTCCTCAACTACATGTGTATGTGAACTTGAGTTCAAACGCCTACAACAACACGGCTCACGAGGAATCATCAAATTAGAACTGCTGAGTTTACTATATGTGCATATGAAAAACACCAGTGGAAAATATATTTCACCACTTGATGACGCTCCAAAATTACCATTTGTCTTCTCCCCAAGCGTGCGTAACAGCTTCGGTGGGTCGACGGTCCTTCCTAACACCTAACACAAAAAACGCATCTGCCGTCTCAGTCCAGTTTGCAGTGGCATACGTTGAGGAATCTCGTTGCTGAACTTCTGCAATTTGCACACGAAAAACCCGTCCATATTGTGAACCTGTTACCAGAAAAAATATCAACTTCAACCGACAAGATTGTCACTCACATGCGGAAAGAATCTCCTCGAATGCTTAAGACTAGGATGGAATTGCTTTCCTCGAAAAGAAGTGAAACCCTCCGAGCCGAAGTTGACCACGTCGTCGAAGGCAACCACGCGAACGTTGCGAGCTTTCAGAATCTAACACGGGGAATGTTCCTATTCCGTAACAATATCAATCTCACAGCGTCGATAACCATTTCGTCTTCTTCGACCGCCATAGAACATGTACCTGCGGGGAGAAATTTGTAGGGTACAGTGCGTGCCAATTTGATATGCAAATGTGGAGAATGTGCGTCATTTTCTATTCCGGGATTAATGATAGTGAACAACTTGTCGCTATCACAGTCTCGAAAGGTTACTTTTATCACATCACATGTTCATAGCAATGTTAACATTGTATATGCGATATAGTTTAATCTCGGAGAAAATAACACACATTTGCATATCAAATTGGCACTTACTATAATATAAGACTATAGTAAAACATCTGATCACCAATTTGTTGGTATTCGATGCATTACAGGGTGAACCTAGCCGCTCTACAAATTTTTCATATTTCGAAAAGATAACTGAGTGAATCGATTGACATCAACGTTTTAGAAACGTTCTGTAGTCTATAATCACACTCTCTCATCGAAGAAACAGCACCTCAAAATTCTAATTTGCTTCGCGCTGTAGTTTATGAATAGCAACCACCTATCCAAAGTCGGCCCGCTCTCACCAGGAACCCGAGAAATAACGTTCCCTAGGGTTTGATAACAAAAGGGAAAATATGTTACTAATGTGATGATGACATTCACATGGGGGAAACTGATTGAAGAATGTGTTCCTAGCCATACGTGGAAAATTCAAAATGATTTCCTCCCCGAAAACCTTATAGGTTCCTAATACTTACTATATACAACAACACCGCCTTCTCCTGTAGTTTTAGTGTCAGCGTCCACCATATCAATCGCTGATAGAAGTAACTCACGTTGAAGCGCAGCATGCTCGGTGAACTCCTTGACGTCTGATAAAAAGTGCACGCCGTGGGAGTCGAACCAGGGACCTCCCGATGGCTAGACGGACGGCTTACTTCGCTTAACTTTGATCTTCGGATCACGAGCGATGATACCAGAACCACTGCAAGGAGCATCCAAGAGTACCTACTTAAAAGTACTGATCTCCTCGAAACTCTTCATGCACTTACCCTATCCAGTTTGGGCAGCATGTCCTTCAACTTTCTCCCATCCATAGCAGTTACCACGACGTTGGAGAGGCCGAGACGATGCACGTTCGCGATCAAAGCCGTGCATCTGAATTCACAAAGCACAGCTGAGGAAAGCGAACATATATTCCTACTCCAACACTGTAAGGAAACTCCTGAGTTCAGGTGGGGAGAGCGAACATAAATTCCTACTCCAACACTGTATAGGAAACTCCTGAGCTCAGCTGAGGAAAGCGAACATATATTCCTACTCCAACACTGTATAGGAAACTCCTGAGCTCAGCTGAGGAAAGCGAACATATATTCCTACTCCAACACTGTATAGGAAACTCCTGAGCTCAGCTGAGGAAAGCGAACATATATTCCTACTCCAACACTGTATAGGAAACTCCTGAGCTCAGCTGAGGAAAGCGAACATATATTCCTACTCCAACACTGTATAGCAAACTCCTGAGCTCAGCTGAGGAAAGCGAACATATATTCCTACTCCAACACTGTATAGGAAACTCCTGAGCTCAGGTGAGGAAAGCGGACATATATTCCTACTCCAACACTGAACTAAACTGATAGAACCTGCTTACCGGTCCTCCCTCAGATCGTTAGCAAAGAGAACGCCTTGGTTCTGCATCATCTGCCCGATGTAAGTAGTCTTGCCACCAGGAGCTGAAGAGCAATCCGTAGGTCCCAGGTTCGATCCCGGCACTCGTCAATTCTACCTGCACTCATATCTAGCACAGTTTCCCCTGGCTGGGCATTGAGAGCTTGAACAGGAACGAACGATGATGCGGACTATGCAAAAAAAAATCACAATATCGGAAAAAATCGCGCACTTACCTGCAGCATATAACGGCCCGAGAGGTACTCCGGAGTGGCTCCAATAGGCACCTTCGACTCCTTCACAGTCAGGCCGACCTGAACACATCGAAATTCTCCCGAAAATGTAAATCTCGCTCGCCCGCCAACCTTCGTCCACTCTCCCGTTGGTTCCACCTGGCAGCCTCGAGCGATCAGCTGCTGTGCCAAAAGACGCCTCCGAGTCTGTTAAAAAAACTTCGCTCCGCCTACTTTCTGATTCTTCCCCCCACCTTTATGGTGTTGGCACGAATTGTCATCGGTCTCGGCCTGTCGTTGGCCTCGAATAACTGCACGGCTTCGCCAGGAGCGAACATATCCAAAATGTACCTAAGGAAAAAGAATTCGCATCATCGCAGACCGCAGGCCCTCTTACGCTGCTAGTTCTTCATTATAGCCGTAGTAGTTGGCACACAGTCGGGCCTGAAAAATATCCATTTTGTACAATTTGCTTCGCTCCGCCGAATTTTCACCAATTCCTCCCGCAACTCCTTGCTGGTGCATCCCTGCTTACGAATAGCCTCCTTGCCAGCTGCCAACATACGGATGACCTCCTCAAGGCCTGACCAGACACCCAATGACCCGGGTTCAATCCCAACACCCGACAATATTCCCATACTACGCTTCTTGAGAGTAGGAATGTCCACGACGGCACTTGAAGAGATTGCTGCCTCCCCCGCTCCTTCAGCTTCCTCGAACTCCTCCATCTGAGATGAATTCTGACGGGTTTTCACATCGATCGACCCCTACCGCAGCCGCTTGCTTGAGATCCTCCTCGTCGGCCTCATCTGGCAGCTCCTCATCATCAACGTACCCGCCTTCCTCCTCATCATCATCACTGCCAAAGCCGGAGACTTCCTCCCCCTCCTCTTCTTCCTCGTCATTGTCATCGCGAGGCCTCTTCTTGCCAGCAGGTATCAGCAGGCCCTCATCGAGATCCTCAACATCATCATCATCACCTGTAGCAACCAGTACAATACTGACCATGCCATATACAGTAGCCTACCCAGAAGATCCTCTTGATGATGATCAACCGTCTCCTCTTCCTCCTCTAAGGCCTCCTCTTCCTCCCCTTGGGCCTCCTCTTCGTCATCTTCCTCAGCGAGAGGAGCCTCTTCCTCAGACTCCTCAATAGTCTCCTCAGCTTCTACCTCCACCTCAGGGGTCTCCTCGTGCAGGACCTGACCATTAACGTGGATTGACATCCATTTCCTTCTACCGCTACCTCCACTGCTTCAGTCTGTTCCTCAGGCTCCTCAGAAGTCTCCTTCTGCTGAGCGACCTTCTTTTCTTTGTTGATGAAGGCCTGCTGACGCCTTACCTTCCTTGAACGCCTTGCCATTGAATAGTTCGGACTGGAAGAGCTGAAGTACGAAATCGATATTCACGTCATGAACTTTTGTCAAAAATGTGAAACATGAATCGCTTCGCTCCGCTCAACTTTTCACGCGCCATAAAATTACCCGGCTTAGTGATAGCACTATGCGAGTATCTTGAGGCCCTCTTGTACGTATCTACGATGGGCCGACCTCACCTGTCGAGGATTAACTGCTGTGCGCTAGCAGCTTCACGTGCAGCTCACCGAGGCTGCTTTTTTTGGAGGAGAAATTGTGGTTCGAATCGAAATGGAGATTCTCGTGTAGCCGTCTTGACGGGACTTGTCGTTTTTTGTTGATTCTACTACGACCTGATGGCAGCAGCGACGGTCCTCGACTCGGTATCTCAGTTTTATATACTCTCACCACGAGGAGATACCATCATCACGAGGGACTGTAATGAGGGGGAATCTTAGGTTGCGCTGTGGAAGATTCAAAGGAGGTCCATTGTGATTGCTCTCATTTAGTTCGAGGCGACATCGTCAAGGGCACGGCTGAGATCTTCTTTCGGAAAGCGAAGTTTTGGAATGGCGGTGAGCCGCCGCCGATTTTCGTAATACTAGGAAGGGGACTGAAGTTCGCTGTCAAATCGATCGTTTGTCCATTTTCGGACCTATTTTGAATCTTTCTAGAACCTAGATGGGATATCCTACATCTATGTCAAGCGGTCTGGTCTCTACTTCGTCCTCACGACCCAGTGTAACGTGAGTCCCATGTGGGCAATAGAGCTCCTTAACAACATGATCAAGGTGAGGAGGTCCCGGGTTCGAACCTCGGCAACGGCACATTATTTTTGTAGGTTATCAAAGACTACTGCGGGGTTCTCAACGAGGAGTCTCTTCGGAAGAATTTCGTCTTAGTATATGAGATCCTAGATGAAATGATCGATTTCGGCATACCACAAACCACCAACACTGAGGTTCCTCGTCCCTCACTTCAACATTGTCGTCATCTCGATCGAGCAGGTCCTCAGAAACTGCGTTCATAACGAGGCTATTATGGTTTCGGATAGTCCTGGTACGGTCACCGGCGGTGGCATCCTATCGTCACTGCCAGCCTTCAACACTAGTCGAACTATGCCTTCTACAGCGGTAAGTTACCGAATCGGGGAAAAGATATTTTTCATGCCCACAGGTCCACCGACCAATCGGCCCGGTAGCTCAGCACGTCCCACAAGCTCCCCCGCAAGTGCCAGTGTCGGCGGCCAACTCCACTATAGCGGCGGCTCAGAGTGTGGCCTCCTCGGTAGGCTGTTTTTACTCAGATTTGGTCGAGTTGTGGTATAGGTTATTTCTACGGCGACTTCAGCAGTTTCTAGTATGGCTGCTGGACACATTCCTGGAAAGGCCGTACCGGGAGATCAGAAAAATGAAATATTCGTGGATATTTTAGAGCGACTTACGGTATGAGCTCCTCGAGAAAACGAGTGCTGACGGTAGTCTCTCAGGTGCTGATGAACGCACAAGGCCAGGTCTTGAATAGTAGCATTGACGGGTCAATCCAGATGAAATCGTGAGAGTGCGGTATGAAAAATATTATCGGACATTGCCTCTAGATACCTTATGGGAAACCCAGAGTTGCGGTTGGCATTGAATGATGATCTCGAAATACTCAGCCAGCCGAGAGAGGCCGCGCCGATGCCCAATTATGGAGGAGGACCACAGCAAGCGGTCGTGCCTGTCGATGATTGTAATCGATGTGATGGTTGCAGAGAAAATGAGGTGCAATTTTTAGGTACATTTCATCCTAGGGTTGACCTCAGCGACTTTGACTCACAGAGGATTCTCTCGTTCGTCCCACCTGATGGTGAATTCAGTGTTATGAACTACCGCATAGATTCGGGTAATTGTAGTCGTGCTGGTAGCATTGTTGGAGTAGGAATATATGTTCGCTTTCCTCAGCTGAGCTCAGGAGTTTCCTATACAGTGTTGGAGTAGGAATATATGTTCGCTTTCCTCAGCTGAGCTCAGGAGTTTCCTATACAGTGTTGGAGTAGGAATATATGTTCGCTTCCCTCACCTGAGCTCAGGAGTTTCCTATACAGTGTTGGAGTAGGAATATATGTTCGCTTTCCTCAGCTGAGCTCAGGAGTTTCCTATACAGTGTTGGAGTAGGAATATATGTTCGCTTCCCTCACCTGAGCTCAGGAGTTTCCTATACAGTGTTGGAGTAGGAATATATGTTCGCTTTCCTCACCTGAGCTCAGGAGTTTCCTATACAGTGTTGGAGTAGGAATATATGTTCGCTTTCCTCACCTGAGCTCAGGAATTTCCTATACAGTGTTGGAGTAGGAATATATGTTCGCTTTCCTCACCTGAGCTCAGGAGTTTCCTATACAGTGTTGGAGTAGGAATATATGTTCGCTTTCCTCACCTGAGCTCAGGAATTTCCTATACAGTGTTGGAGTAGGAATATATGTTCGCTTTCCTCACCTGAGCTCAGGAGTTTCCTATACAGTGTTGGAGTAGCAATATATGTTCGCTTTCCTCACCTGAGCTCAGGAGTTTCCTATACAGTGTTGGAGGAATATATGTTCGCTTTCCTCAGCTGAGCTCAGGAGTTTCCTATACAGTGTTGGAGTAGGAATATATGTTCGCTTTCCTCAGCTGAGCTCAGGAGTTTCCTATACAGTGTTGGAGGAATATATGTTCGCTTTCCTCAGCTGAACTCAGGAATTCCCTCACTAATTATAGAATTCGGGTAGAAGTGTACAGAAGCCAATAAGAAAATTACCAAAATTTCCTCAGAATTTCCATATTGTCACCAAAACATGTGCATATTTTCATTAATGTTGTTTGTGACTCAGAGTTCCGTCCGCCCTTCCGGGTCACTCCCTTTGTTGACTCTGTATCGCAATACAAGGTCGAGCTCGTGGTGAAGATTCGCGCTGAGGTGGTATCTTTGAAAATCTTCGCGGTGCGTTGGGCAGTTGATTCGACAGGTGCCCGAGTCCAACTATGGTGGGAATATTCAAATGACGATTCCGACGCCGCCTGGGACGGCGTCTGTGAATTGTGATACTTCTGCTGTTGGAGGTAAGGTCGTGCTCGAGTTGGGATCTCGTACGGTTGTTCCAGTGTTGGAGTAGGAATATATGTTCGCTTTCCTCAGCTGAGTCTAGGAATTTCCTCACTAGTTGAAGGAGTTTACATGAAAATCCGGTGTAAATGTACAGAAAACACTGAGAATTTTCCAAAATTTCCTCAGAATTTTCATCAACATATGTGTGTGACCATATGCATACTTTCCTTCCCCCACACACTGGCTTGCTCAGGAGCATTCGTGGGCGCGGGCCCTCGAGGAATGCAGAAGCCGCCACCTGTACAGCAGAGTGCCGACTTTGTTGAGTCTGAGAGGAAACTGTATTGGAATATAAAGAAGCTCCAGGGAGGGCACGAATGTGAGTAGGGTTAGGTACTTCACGAATGTTGTCCATGGGCGAGACTCAACACATGAGGGAAAGTTAGTTATGTGATTTGCGAGATGGTTAAGGGCGAGCGCTGTGCAAATGCATATTTGGTTTTTCCTCATTATGAAAATCTGAGAATATCTGCTAATTTTCTGAAAAATGTCTTATTTTCACCAAGACGTGTAGTTGACTAAGTGCATATTTTTTCCACACTGAAGCAGTTTTGGAGGAATATATGTTCGCTGTCCTCACCTGAGCTCAGAAGTTTCCTCACTGATTATAGAAATCGGATAGAAGTGTATAAAAACCAATAAGAATTTCCCAAAATTTTCTCACAATTTTCATATTGTCACCAACACATGTAGTTGACCATGTGCATATCGCCCTCACACTGAAGTTTTTGCTAGGCACTCTCCGAGCTCGTTTGAATTTCGCTCAACCCGTGAGCGGAAAACCGCGGATTGGTCCTCTAGCTCTTACGTTTGAGGTCCCAATGTACGTAGTGAGCGGCCTTCAAGTGAAGTAATGCCAGGGGACCTATTTCGTATCTTTTGATGGGGAACCTTAGATACCTCCGAATTGCAGATCGATATCAGAGTATGCCTTATGGTTCGGCACAGCCTCCTCAGGGAGCTCAGGGAAATCCGTGAGTTAGCTTCGCTCCGCCTTTTTTGTGAGGTTGTTTGTTGAAGATACCGATGGGTCCGCTATGTGACGCAAAGCCAGAGTTATATAATAAGGATGGACTGAGTGTTCGAGACTACTCTACTCTCAAGCTGGGTTTACTACAGTTTCTCGCGGTCTTCAGTTCATCGCTTGCTGTGTTTTTGGAACTCTTATGCTCAGTTCGTTTTCAGTTATTTATTTATAAACGATTCCAATGCCCGAGGCGTCAGTCGAAAAAGTAACAGTTCACACGGAAGGTTTGTCAAGAGGCTCTAGTGCGGTCATCACTGATGATGTAGCGGACCCGCTCTCTGTTGCCGAGCTCATTGGTGATGTTCCTGAGGAGGAGAGTAGCCCGAAGTGGTCCGATGTGAAGAAAGAGAAAATGCTCCCTAGTAGAGGCAGCAGTGGGAAAATAACGCCGGCGTACAGTTCGCCGAGCTTACCCCAGGCTGAGGATCAGCGCGATGGAGAGGCACCATCACTGAGTGCATCTGTGTCGTCAGTGAGCTCTGCTACTGTCGATGTTGGTGTGGGGAATGTGAGCGTTTATGGTAGGTTGATCGTGCATCGCTCCGCTCGTTTTTGGTTGATTGTTTTGTATGATTTAGCTCCTTCATCTGATGCGAGTATCTGCACATTAGGAGGAGGAAAGCCGTTGAAGACTCACGGCTCGTGGAGTGAAGCCATGTGGGCGTCTACGATTGGTCCCAGAGCTGCTGGGACAATGTTGAAGGTGCTGATGTTGTGGTGAATTAGCGCAGCGGTTAAGATCCATGGTTACGCACCATTGCTCCCGGGTTCGAATCCTATCCGGTTTATTTTTGTATTTTCTCTAGGTGCCGTTGCGTCGCTTGATGGGCCATTCCAAGAGGAAGTCGTGGAACTCCAATATGGAATCGTAAGTAGTCTTGGTCGTTCATATTGCACCCGGGTTCGATTCCCAGCGGCGTCATTTTTACCCTCCTCAACGTAGGTACATCAGCGCCTTGCGCTCAGTGGGAAAGCACCTGTCTGGTATGAGCGTGGATCGCGTGAGGAAGCTGGCAGAAAAACCACTACCGAACAATATGCTTCCGAAAGGAGTCGTAGGACATTTCTCGAAACTTCACTCCTCTTTTGGGAAAAATTTCGATCAGTTTCGCTTCGCTCAAACCCTCCGAATCGACGGGAATCAGGAACCGCTGAAACTGAGTAAGAGCTTCGTCCCTGTTAGTGTATATTGCCGTCTCTTGGTAGCGTGGATGTGGCCGAACGAGATCACACCGTTGAGGCCGCCAGAGCTTGCAGTTCAGGAAATCGGCCCTAGTGTGAGCGTGTTGAAGGAAAACCCTGTCATATTGTGAGTGTGAGCTAGGTTACTTGGCATGTATCGTTTTCGAAGGTATGTGCCTGGTACCCCTTTCTGCGTTTGGGGTAAGGGCGTTCACCGCTATCAGTCCTACCTTCTCGCGAAGAGAGCTGAAGCTATAGTGTAGCATCTAGCAAGGCTCGTTGAGTTCCCTGGAGGCTCTCGCTTCCTCAGGTGTTGTATATGTAGCGATTCGTTGCCACCAGCTGCTTCCTTCCAGGAGGGTGTGACTGATATCAAGGCTGTGTAGGACGGGGAGGCATCGCACCTAGATGTGAGTTGGAGCTTGCAGGTACAAGCATTTGATCAAGAGCATTGGAGTCGATCCTGGCTCCATCGCGATCGCAGGAGACTCCTTAGGAGCTGGCATGGCTATGTTGGCAGTTATTTCTCTGCGAGATGAAGGGGCAGGGAATTTCACACAATAGGGAGTTTGTGATGTTCGTCGTTCAGGTTCCGTTGCCGAGTAGTGTTTGCCTGATGTCACCTATAACTGATCTCGCCGACCAAGTTGATGACCTTTCGGACGACTTGAGCTCCTCTACAGAGGAGGCGTCTGTGGTGTTGGACGAAGCTGATGGCAGCACAGCAAAAGCGGCGGTGGAAGAGGAGGAGGAGGAGACCGGAGGCCTCGGTGATGATGTTGGGACTAGCGAGCCGAGCGGTGATGCTGTGGAGAAGCCGGTGGACGGCAGCAGTAGTGAACCGAAGGAATCCAAGTCGGAAAGCTCTAAAGAAGCGGATAACAGCACTGAGAAACCCGCGGAGACCGAGAGTGCAACAGCGGCTACTGAAACGCCACGTAAACCAGTAGCTGCGGTGGAGAGGAAGGAGAATGTTGACTACGTCCAGCGTGATCTGGTGGGTGCATGAACGCGGCGATGTGGTGACACTGATGTGGTGACACTTCTGTTCAGGTGTCTAGTGTGGCACAGTATGCTATTGGAAACTGCTGCCCGAATTCCCAGGAGGTCTCTCCTTACTACGCCGATCTGAGTGGTCTTCCTAACATGCTTGTAGGCGCTATCGGATTTGGAGGATATGCACATGGGCAACTACGTGTGTTGGTGACAATATAAAAATTTTGGGAAAGGTTTTTGGGAAAACCTAGTTGCTTTTCTGACGCTTCTATCTGAATTTTATAATTAGTGAGGAAACTCCTGAGCTTAGGTGAGGAAAGCAAACATATATTCCTACTCCAACACTGTATAGGAAACTCCTGAGCTCAGGTGAGGAAAGCAAACATATATTCATACTCCAACACTGTATAGGAAACTCCTGAGCTCAGGTGAGGAAAGCGAACATATCTTCCTACTCCAACACTGTATAGGAAACTCCTGAGCTCAGGTGAGGAAAGCGAACATATATTCCTACTCCAACACTGTATAGAAAACTCCTGAGCTCAGGTGAGGAAAGCGAACATATATTCCTACTCCAACACTGTATAGGAAACTCCTGAGCTCAGCTGAGGAAAGCGAACATATATTCCTTCTCCAACACTGTATAGGAAACTCCTGAGCTCAGCTGAGGAAAGCGAACATATATTCCTACTCCAACACTGTATAGGAAACTCCTGAGCTCAGCTGAGGAAAGCGAACATATATTCCTACTCCAACACTGTATAGGAAACTCCTGAGCTCAGCTGAGGAAAGCGAACATATATTCCTACTTCAACACTGTATAGGAAACTCCTGAGCTCAGCTGAGGAAAGCGAACATATATTCCTACTTCAACACTGTATAGGAAACTCCTGAGCTCAGCTGAGGAAAGCGAACATATATTCCTACTTCAACACTGGGCTCAACAAGATTCGAATGCTCTCGCTCCTCCTTCTCAGATCCAGGCCGGTCAAGACGAGTTGTTCCTTCCTCAAATTGAACGTTTCGCTGCTAAAGTGTCGGCCATGAAAAGACCGGAGACTCACTTTCAGTTCCAGGAGTACGAGGAGATGGTAACAGTGTCAGCAGCGTCACTGCGCCACGAAATTATGCCCTGTAGGTTCACTGCTTCGAGCTGTTCGGTTTCTGTACTTCCGAGAATGAAGCCCCTCGTAGAGCTCTGGGGACTATGGCAGCTTTCGTAAGTCCACACTAGTTCCATAGGTCTTGTTTTACGCAGTGTCGTCAGGTTCGTGAGCACATCACATTGAGCGGAGCGAGCGAGTCGAATCCCCTGGCGTAGAACTGTTCTCGCGCACATTTTTTGTGACGTTATTTCTCTCCTTTTCAATTCTCGCTGTAAAAGCCGCCTCTCCGCTAAGTTTAGAAAAGCTCATTAATGAATCTGTACTGAGCTGACGGAGTGCGCCGCGTACTGTCGTTGTTCTGTGTTTCTTTGTTGTACAGTAGCCCTCTTGTTTTTGTTCGACGTGGTTCTCGGTCCGGCAGGATATTGCGTTGTGTGATTAACAGTGTGGAAAAATATGCTCATGTGTTGGTGCTAGTATCAAAATTCTGAGAGTTTCTTGTTGATTTCTGTACACTTCTACCCAAATCCTATAATTAGCTTTGGAAACTCCTGAGCTCAGCTGAGAAAAGCGAACATATATTCCTACTCAACACTGTATAGGAAACTCCTGAGCTCAGCTGGAGAAAGCGAACATATATTCCTACTCCAACACTGTGAGGGTGTGTGTCGGGATACTCACACAGCGTGTATTCGGGCTTGTCTCAGTTCCGGTGTGTTCGCAACATGGGAGGAAAGTTGTCCTGCTGCTCAGTATGCGTGGCGAAGTCTAAATCAAAGAAAAAACAACCACGAGTGGTCACCGACCAAGTCGCCTGTGATGTTTGTCATGCAGTTCAACCGCTACTGTAATCGTCCTCATTGAGGCCTCCAAAGTGTTCTCGGTCAGGCCACACGCCAACGTGTTCGTTTGCGAAACGTGTCGCTCTGTTAACAGAGTTCACTGGGTGGCAGGGGAGCGCAGGCTGAGCACCGTTTCTGATCCGAAGGTCGGCTCATGCATCTCTTTGGAAGAAGACAACTAGTTGGTTATTCGCAGGTGATTTTGGATAACGTAACAGGAGTAGTCCCTGTGAGAAGTGAAGTTCGAGCAACGACTATCTCGCCTTGTTCTGTGTGCCTCGATAACCCCGGAGATATGGTGAGTGAATTGATCGATTTTATTAGAGATTTATGGCATTCTGTGGCAGGTTATTCTACCCTGTGGACATGCTGGAATTTGCGAGTCTTGTGCGGTCCACATAGCGAGCAATGAGGCAGTTGGCGGCAGTTGTTGCCCGAAGTGTCGGACTGATATTGAACAACTTGTACGCACTGCTGTTGTGAATGAATATCCTATGTGAGCTTCTGCCAGGTGCGTATTGGAAAACTGTATGATACGACTATTCAGGGAAGTGAGGTTCCCTTCTCTCGACGTGTGAAGGCGCCACCTTCTGTGCCACCACCCCCAGGGTTGGAAAAAGTGAAGGTGAATTTGGCGCCCATCATAGCGCAAAAAATGTCGGTCATTTTCAGGGCCCTAACAAACCGTGACATTGTTGGGAGTCCCTATTGAGGATAAGCATTCATCACAGAACATTCTTCGAGATCTCGACGTCTCTGCTGCCTGGCTTCAATATGAACTTCTAGAAAGAGAAAGGACTATTGTCTCACGTGCACTGACAGACATCATAATTTTTACTTCAATTCACTCTTGCGTTCATAAAGTGATAGTAGTGTATATCAGTCAGAGCCGCTAGACGATTCATTAGCTGGAGGGACAGGAAAAAGACACAAAGCGAATATTACGCACAGTATCGAGGAGAATACTGCGTTCTTGTCGACGGAAATCATCAAGTTGTCACTCGACTAAAGCGGTAACTATGACGGAGTGAGCTAATCACCGCACTCGAGCGACCCGATTGCACTCATCAGCGGAAGACCTCACTTGCAATCCATCACATGGAGCCTGAGGGTCTGAGGTAGGTGAGAATATCCGAAGTAGCTCAGTCGACGCGTCATTCGAACGGTCAAGAACTCGTGTCGATCAGTCGATCACGGGACTGCAACGTGTATGAGAACCTTAAAGTCACTGAGGACTATTAATGAACATGTCAGCATCTCCCTCGGTCCAAGGGAGGATTCTTCTCTTAGGTTCACTATGGAATCGTGGCGCTTACTTAGACCAACCGCTCGATACAACAAATATGTCGTAAGAGGACCTTGACTTGAATTTTGTTGGCGCGCGCCAAGGGCGCGCGCTTGTTCCTTCACTGTTTTGAGGGTTCGAGGGTAATTTTTTCCGGTTCACCATTTTCAGGATTCACTGTTTTCACGGACAACCTTCATTCACGAAGTCCGCACGCGTGGGCAGACCGCACGAACTGTAGGCTTTTCGAACAAGAAAAATCTAACATTCCGGATTCCGAAGTACGGAACGCATTTTCACGTCTTTGAAAACTGGCCTGGATTAGGAGAAAGCTTCCTAATCTTAGGCAAAACCCGCTTATCGAATACTCGGATCTCCTGTCACCAGCGCACACCAACGTTGGGCGTGACGCCGATAGGGCAGCTTAGCTAGAAATGCGTACAAGGTGGAGGGAAGTCTCGTTGATATCCACACACGTCAACTCTACTATGTTCTTGATTGTTGTTACCCTGCAACTCATTGCTGTGGGCCACGGTGCATACACTGAGATGGAGGAGGCCTTCCAGGAGTTCGTGAGAACGTGAGTTCGCTCGTCATCTAAAGTCCAACCAGAACTTGTCTCAGTTACCATAAAAAATACGACACGGATGAGCAGTATCAAGTTGCAAAGGACGCTTTCGAGAATACTATGAACGAGATAGAAGCCATGAGAGCCAACAGTAAGCAATGTGCCAGCATCTACTGCTAAATCTGAGTTAGCCTCTGCTAACTCGATACTATATGTTATGCAGGCAATGTGACGCATGAAGTCGGTCTCAATGGAATTGCTGATCTACCGCGAGAGGCCACGTTCAGGGCGTCGCATGTGTTGTCAGCAGTAGCATGACAAGGAGCATTGTCATAGAGTAGGCAAAAAGGCCGACCATCCGGTTGGTTGGCCAGTTTGTCAAGCACATCACGTAGAAAAGCCTCGAAATCTTCCTTTTTACATCCCCCTAGCATTGACTGCCAAGCGAGGATCCCACCCCCGTTGCATACAGCACAGATAAGGGTAACGTGTCTCCCACGCTGATTAGCGCAGGTCTTCCTAGCTCGTTGCCCTTTCGCGGAACGACCCTTAGATCTACAGGTATACAAGTTATACCCTGTCTCGTCAATCCAGACAAGACGATATCGGCCAGCGTTCACCTGAAGCCACTGAGCGAAATCACGCCTCTTCACCTTATTCACTTCACTGTTTCTTGCTTCGGGTATCAGCTGAAGTTGCTTCATGCTGATAAGCCTACCTTCCAAAGCTCGAGCAACAGTGCTTGTACTCAGCTCGACGTTCCACTCACGAGATACTTCGTCAGCGATTTGCTTCAAAGTCAAGTCAGCATCCCTTCCAACCAGGTATGCCATTAATTCTATCATAGGCTCGGTACACTTCTTATTTCTTGGGCCCCCACGTGGCCGCGTTTCTTCTCTTTGAGACTTTACAATGTGGTAGGCGGTGTCAGGTTTCACACCAAGGTTTTTTGCTGTAACCTGGTAGTCGTCTCCGTCTCGAGCTGCTTTGATGATGGCCTTACGCGCCAAAGAGGGGATGCTCTTACCTCCTCGAACGCCCATTAACGGAGTGAGAAAAAAAGACTAACTGTTCACATGCACTCCACTCGAGTTGGTCGGATAATTCATGCTTTTGTCGGATATTTGATTTCTGCGCAGAAGATTCTTTTGAATGAGCACGCGCCCACGGATATTTGAAAGTAGGCTATCGGATATTTGAATGACAGTCGGATATTTGGGATGCACGAATCGGGCGGATATTAGGATGACCCTAGTCGGAAATTTTCATGCGGTATATCGGATATTGCTTGTGACCGAGTCGGACAAGTAAGTGCGGGTCGGAAATAGTTGTGACGCATCGGATGTTCGCATGCAGTTAGTCGGAAATAACAGTGCGCAAGTCGGAAACATGACCTGGAAATGCTGTATTATCATAGGACAGCACTCGATGACCTATCAAAATGAAAATGATCCACCTACTCGGAGCAAGTCATGCAGTACTACGGCAGCCAGGAGCTCAGCCTTGGTTCCCAGCATTCACAGGAAGGCAAAACTGCGGTTGGGTCAGATGGAATTCTCCTGATGAGACGCGACGACTCCAAGAATCTGAGCTTCATAACAGTCAAAATGGCGAAGCATGACTCCGAGTTTGCTTCAAGCAGTCCTTCTCCCAGATTCTCTTGAATGACCCTCATTCATCAACGCAACAGCAAACTTGATGACAGGTCTGGGAATACCTTGCATAGCATGGTTAGTTCCTATATGAAGTGTGTGTCGGCGTCCGCCTGTATGAAGATAATCCGCCTACAATTAAGTGTAGAGCCATGAGCTACAGTGCGCTGCGTCTCGCACCGTTGCAAGACGTATCTTCATCGTCCAAGCTCAACTTCAATTTGCCTCCCTTGGCCTTAAGGAGATTCTCCAGAATAACAGCGGCTTCCTTGTCCTGAAGTGAACCACTCAGCGAATCACAGTTGGACCTTTCAAGGACGTGAATGTAGATGGCATCGCCGGCCACAATTAGATACCAGCAGCTCTTACATTCGCACTGTAAGGCCCTGTTCCCCAGAGAACGCCTAGGGCTGTTCGGCCGTCCCTGAACAATTGACATGATGGAAATGCTCAAGACATGGAGTTTGTTTGTGAGTTTAGACTCTTAACGCTCCTCCGCCGCGACTCCAATGGCAATGGCCGATAGCTTCCTCACTTATGCCCTCTATTGGGGTCTGCTCCAAGAGCCAACAGCTCGAAGACTAATGGGGGCTTTCTCTGTTGCACCGCTAGAGCTAGTGCAGTGAAGCCGAACATCCGGGACCTGAACAGGTCATACTATTTAAAAGGACGACTCACAATTTTAGCTCTGCCAATATAGAAGTGTTATATAAGGACTTTGGTTAGGTCAACACGTGTAAAATGGATTGATAGAATTTTGATATAGGATACTCTTCTGAACATAGAACGTTAAATATAGAAAATTCTAATACTAAGTCGGCCCTCTGATGTAGTAATATTCCCATCACCAGTTTGGACATGCAATGGGTGATCTATTGCATGTCCCAACGATCCATAGGAATGAAACTCTCATTGATAATTCGTAAAGGTTTCGTGATGGGGCTACTTCATGATGCATGATTCCATTAGAGAATCCATCAAGCTCCTGGGATTTGGCCAGAGGCCATTTGGCTGGATCGAGGCCTTGAATGGGGCACACACGTTTTAGAGTGCATAGGACGTGCCAGAACACCGGACGCCGCGTGCGCGACTCAGTCCAGGGTAATGAACTGACCCAACGAAGGCGTGTCCGATACTAGCTCCTCATCATGAGCAGCGTTACAGGTTCGATTCCCACACTAGCCGAGATTGGCCACGGTGCATCTGACTCGGCACACCAATGCTGACAGGCCCCACTGGTTCACGGGCCATAGATGGGATACCAATCGTGAGGTAGGCAGTATATCATAGCCCAGAGGAATCGTTGAGATCGCAGACCGTCTGATATCTCAACGACTCCTTCGTTCTGGAACTCAATGATCACTCCACGCTCAGCATTCAAACCCCTATTCAGGAGGGCAGCAGCCAGCAAAGCCTGGTTAAAGACAAGATGCACAAACAGTGCACAAGAGCATCAGCAGACAGTGGTTACACGAGGAACTGGAATATCAGCCCACAAGAGCCTAATGCCCTTCGCTGCCGGGAAGCCTTGGATGTTGTTGTTGCGAATCCACGGCTTCGTGCTTTCTATGTTTCGATGTTTCGAGTACACTAGGCCAAGATAACACCATAAGAATCACCGCCGTTATTGAAGATGGGCTGAGTTGTCGCATTCCGCAAGGCATCTATGCTGTGATTGAAGTAGAGTAGTTAAGCTAAGGCTAGCCGGTAGGGACCCAACCGTGTGGTCGCCTCAGTGTGGTCGATCCTTTCGTCGAGCGAAAACTTGTCGGTGACAATTTGTCGGAGTAGAGGTTATTTGGTTCACCACTACGACAGTAATGGGACTGGGCGGACTGAAAGGAATCAAGTACGCAGCAAGTATGCTAGTAGCAATGTCCAGCCAAGAAAGTGGCACGCAGTTCTTTACAGCGAACAGGGTTGTAACCGAAAGTAGGCGCCTTATGAGTGACTCAGCAGACTGCGCAACACCCGCAGGAGCGCACCGTGGCGGTGTAAGACAGCATACATTCAAAGGGAGACCCACTGAATGCACACGCTGTGGGTGAGAGCGCATAGAGGATGTATAGGGAACAAAATAACTGATACATCACTGAGATTGGGAAGATCCAAAACCAGGAAGTTTCTGGCAGAAACAGAACAGCTAGGAATTCCAGAGTCTTGCACGATCCGTCAAGTGAGAGCATCAAGTCAGGAAAGAGGAAGCATGGTGATCGGGAGAAGCGCGACAGGCCGTCCATATGCAACCACAGTCAGTGCCAGATATCACGGACATACTAATAGTGTGGGGAGGATGAAGATATCTCCCTTCATCTACATCAACGCCTCTACTCAGTAGAGTCTAATGACGGAGATAGAGGGAATGATAACTCGGCAAATACAGGTCGGGATCGACCCCGTTTGACATGACACGGCTTCCGGCCACTACCGGAAGGATTTGTGCGTGGCTTGCAAAGCTACGCAAGGTATGGCTACAGGGAGCATAAGGCACACAGTCGTCACACATGCACGAAGGACGGGTCAGAAGGCCTTCTCCTTCACCGATTGTGAATCACTGTCAATACAGCGAAAGGTCGGGAGAATCGCAATCCGTTGCATAATTCACCACTGGTAATCTTCGGGGGTATCCTAGGCTGACGGCTATCTTGACAACCACGGCTGGTCCAAAAAATGCCGTTTAAGAAGAGCAAGAGGGTGCTATAGAGGGTAACCGACTTCGAGAGAAAATCCCCGGCCGTCAATAACTACGTCGCGCCCAGAGCTACAGTCAGTGCCAAAAATCGAGACCGAGTTTGGCCGCAGGGAACTGCATGGTGTTCGCAACTCCTTGCAGTATCAACCCGCTCAGAACAGCAATGATCGCAAAAGAGGAGGAAGGTTCGCCTTGGATCTTTATTTCCCCGCGGAGAATTTATAACACCCTATGCCTGCATCGCACAGCGACCTACTTTTCCTCGAGAGTGCAATAAGAGTTGATGTCCACCGAGCAATCTACTACTAACATCTGCAGCACATGTTTGACCTCGCTGAAGTTCTCTCGAGTCACACGTTCGCATACACGATGCACCTAGGGGTAGGTAGCGACGACACTATATCGAGGCCACGTCTACAAGGTTCTCGCTGCCTGGTAACCTTTTCAATGAGAGCCCCCCGTACCGGACAAGTATCGCCGCAATTTCAGCATCCAATCTCTCAACACACACGCTGATGAAAATTGATTGAGTCAGACTGGGTACCTGGTCACGAGGGCATCATCTACACGTCTGGATGGACATGCGACTACGAAATCTCCCGGCTGTGCTGCAGCTAAGATTTCCTTCACATCGTCAACTGAGCGGTCATCGCAAGCTCGCCGCAGAGCAAAAGAGGACATGTAGCTAGCATACACGATGGAGAGAGAATTAGAACAATAACGACAACCAAACATCAAATAATCGTCAGAGCCCGCCGCATTCCTGTTGTTAGTACACACTGTTACCTACCAGTCTTGCCAAGCAATAGGATCCTCGGCTTTTAGTCCTTCGATTCTATACTCTTCAGCCTGCGCGTCAGGGAAAGACAATACCTTACTGGGGGGCAGCGAGCATGGGCCTGACAGAGTCAATGCATGTCATCGCAAAATGCTCCTCAGAGAAATCTCACGCTCATTTTTCGTGTCGAAATCGGACGTCCCAATAGAGATCTCCGTACCAATCCTCAATGACGGCTGAGTAACCATTAGCGTCGTCTGTCTTAAAATGCACTGTAAGTTCGCACGATTGGTACCAGCATAAAGCTTCAAGCTTCAAGCTCGACAGATCACTAAATCAGTGTCACTGATGGGCTGGGAACAAAGGTATTATCAACGTGACGGCCATGACTATGAAATTTTGCTTGTGCCGTTCGGAGTAGTGCCAGCTGGATCGGCTTTTCGTCGTCTTCCTATCAGAATTCTGAGGAAAGTAACTCTTTGACAGAGCACCTCGGTTGCAAGCCTCGTCTTCGGATACTCGGAGTGGTGGCCGAGTATAAATTTTTACTCTGCTGGTTGTTGCCGCGAGACTGGGCACTTTTCCTCATCTGCTGTCTCCTGTTATTGTTTCCCTGAGGGAAATTACCTTGGTCGGGATGGGTCTTTCATCACAAATGTGTAACCTGGCGACTCCCCACTTCTTTTCGTCAGTCTTGATGTAACAATCAATAGTGCCAGCACTGGCTTACGGTTGTCTGCTGATGAAGTTCCGTCTATTCTTTCCGATTTGAGTTCCTTTGTCGATCGTAGACCAAATACTACACCTTTCCGTACTGGTTGATCTCCGGCAGACAAATTAACTCGCCTGTGAATCATTTGTACTGGTGCAAAGTCGTGCTCATCCCCGATGTGTCATGAGATGATGTTAATATCTTCTTTTCTGTAGTTAACTGTTAACTTTAACATCTTAACGTAAGCTAGTATTCCTCGAAGTTACTATACTCATAGTTATGAGACCAGATTGAAGCCTGAGTGTTCTCAGCGACTCTGTAATACAGAGTCTGTATGAGCTGAATTGTGAAGATTGACACTATTCACTACAGATGTACTCTATTGTTAGCTTGACGTAGGGCGAAGGGCCGTGATCGGTCACATTATGTCCGAACGCGGATATCTCCTTGGCTCTCTGCGGTGGTCTAAAATCAGCTCATCCTACTGCGGTTTGGGTTTACTGCACCAAGACATCGGAAGGGCTCCTCCATTGCAGGCAATCTCTCTTTCGGCAAACATGACATCGATCGCTCCGCTGGCACGCATAGGTTAAGCGCCCAACGCTTGCACACGTGCCCCTGATTGCGGGATTATTAAACAGATTATCGGTTTATGATGTTGATAGTAGCTCCCTAAACAACGACACTCCTGAGTTAGCACTGGGAAGACTCGACCTTGAGCCAAGTGACACCGCAGAGGTAGGGCCTATCATTGTCGATGGGGTCGTACACGAAGTCGTACGAGAAGCGGGAACCGAGGGCAGGAGAGTTCAACAATTTCCTAATCTCTCGGGGTAGAGTACCCCGATATCGACAGAATAATCGATAACTCTCAAATGGCGTTCCGCAGCGGGAGCTCTGGTCTAGAAGTGATACACGCGCTGCAGTTATTGATAGACAAGTGTAACGCGTTTAAAACACCACTGACATTGACCAGTACTGATCCCAGAATTTCTTAGTCAGAAATGCCTTTGAGTCAGGCCTTTCTGACTAAGAAATGTCAAAGGCTTTGACAAGGTATTTCAAGATCATGTGTATGAATCTCTGCGGTTGGCTCAAGTGCATCCGAAGTACATGAGGATCGCGAGAAACTGCTATGAGTCCGCAAGAGCTACAATAAGGTTGCGCAAGAAAGAACAAACAATCGAGCTCAAAAGCGGATTGCGACAAGGGGACAGCTCGAGTCCCATACTATTCATCTGCGGTCTGGACCGAGTCCCCAGACGAAGGTTTCGACTCAGCTAGGCCTGTGCCGGGATCCGGGTTGTGTACCTGCTGTGCGCAGCCAAACGCGAGATCTGTAGGCTTGAATATTCACGAGGCAGCGGGGAGCGTTCCCGCGAGTTCCGAGCTATCGTGATCGCCTTCAGGTTAATCGCGGACAATGCCCGACTCCCAGTCCCCGTAGTTAGAGGTTTCATGCTGAGGTCAATCCCGCAGGGTTTTGTCGATGGTGAAACCGCGACGGCCGGGGACAATACTTGTGTGCTGGTAATCTCAGCTAGCCTGCTAGCCAGAGGGTGCAAGTGTTTCACGATACCGCTTCTGTGGATTTGAGCTTATCTAGTCGGATATGGTTTGTTCATCGACGAAGGGAGTGCGGCTCTGCGACCCGCGTGAACCTTGGGCACCTCTCGTCTGTTAGTTTACCGTCACTCAACTCGAAATCCCACCCAACCCACGAACCGAGACTACGGGTGAGCAGGAGTCCATACCTATCATACGGGTTAAGGCTCTCGCTGGGCTATCCGCTACGCGTCTAGGGTTGTGTACCTGCTGTGCGCAGCCAAACGCGAGATCTGTAGGCTTGAATATTCACGAGGCAGCGGGGAGCGTTCCCGCGAGTTCCGACTCGGAACTTCCGAGCTATCGTGATCGCCTTGAAGGCGACGCCTTCAGATTAGTCGCGGACAGTGTCCGACTCCCAGTCCCCGTAGTTAAAGGTTTCATCAACGAATTAAGCTTGCCGATGACGTTACATTACCTGCCTCGACAACCGAAGGACCTGGCTGTCAGCTATCGTATCTCGAGGAGGAATGAAGAATTGCGAATCTCGTCCCAGCACCGGAGAAGTGCAAGAGACTGTGTGTCGACCTGGAGAGTCAGGAAGGCAGTTTGGAAGAGTCCAAGATCAAATGCACTGATCAATTGAGTGTACTTGGTGCTATAATCGACGGCAAGCGCAATAATGACGCTCATATTAGTAGGCGCATGCAACTCGCCGGACAAAGAATGGCTAAACTCCAGAAAATCTGGAACTCGCATGATATAAGCTTGGGGCAGAAGTTTTTTTCCTCCGAAGTGTGGTATTCTCGATAATATTATACTGTATAATTTATACACCAGTGAGTGCTTTGCCCTTAGCAAGAATGAGATGGAGAAATACTGTTCGTGTTTTACAGCAAGTGCATACGGAGGGTGTTGCAAGTATCGCCATTGGCGCACACCACGAACCGCGAAATTTGGAGTAGGTCTGGTTGCACTGACTGTCACATAGTCCTGGGAATGCGTCGCTTGCGATAGGATGGCCACAACCTCAGAACTCCCCCCGCATCTTTGGTGAACAGACTACTTTTGTGGAATCCGGCATAATATTCCGGGCATATCATTTGGGAGCTCAGATAAGCGCTAGGAGGAGAGAAGGTTGGATAGATCTCATTGCAGAGGATTTGAGGGAGACTAATTTGTCGCGAGGAAATGCTCTGGACCGACTTTTGTGAAAAAGATGGACTAAAGCCCTGCGACCGAAATAAGCTTGGAGAGAAAAACTCAGTCAAGTGCTAGTCTCCTTGCGCCGAGTAAGTCGATCTTATAAACATCCAACTTGCTACTAGCTGCCGGTTTGTCGCCTGGCCGGAAACGGCCGAGAGCGACAGAGAGAGCAGGGGGAAGGTCGAGCTGATGACTCAAAGCACTGCTTCGACTCGAAGCAGTGCTTTCAAAGCTGACGCCTCGAAGCCTTCGAGGCGTCAGCTTTGAAAGTGTGCTTCAAGCAGCACACTGCTCACACGATGCTGTCGCGTGAGCTGGCGGCAGCATTGGCCTGCTTTGGGTGCAGGCCAATACCGACGACAAACATGGAGGACTTTTCGTTTACACGTGAGGATTATACTAAAGTTCTTTACCGAAATCGGGCTTGGGGCAGTCATCTGAGTGTGCCAGGCTGGCACTGCCAGCCCACATGGCACGACAGGTGAATCTTTCGGCAGGCGTTTCCCACTTGAGATGGGTCCTCCTCGGCCGCTGAGCACTAAAACTAAGTAACGATTAATTCTAATCCCATGCTTTGACTTTGCGAGCCCTGTGTAGCACGCAATCCATGGTGGTAAAACAGTTGTACGGGCATGCACGTGATGCCACATTTTCTTTTGTCAACCTTCTTCCCAAAATATTTCCCTGGACTTTCCCTCAGACATTTTATTCAGCATTGTCTAACTCACCTATGCCACACTTACACCAGGATAGAGGAAGGATCAAATTGACCGGCTTATCGGCAATTCAATGATAGATCACTTGAACCCAGCAACGGACAGTATCACGATTCCTTGATAGCAGCACAGGGTAAGCACAAAGCGGCGAAGGTGCCGCGCATAACGGCCAAGCGACAGAAGCGGCGTGCAAGGTACTGAGATTCAATGCAGACTTGGAGAGATTTACTCTCCTTAGTGAAATTCCAACTGCTATGTTCTTGGTTGTTGTTACTCTGCAACTCATAGCTGTGGGCCACGGAGCATCCGTTGAGGTGGAGAAGGCCTTCCAGGAGTTCATGAGGACGTGAGTTCGCTCGTCATCTGGAGTCAAACCTCAGGCTGAACTTGACTCAGTTACGATAAGAGATACGACACGGATGAGCAGTATCAAGTAGCCAAGGATGCTTTCGAGAACACTATGAGAGAGATTGAAACTCTGCGAGCCAACAGTAAGCAATTCCGGGCTGCTGTAAGAATTAATCTTCGCCCAGATCATGTTAATGCTAGCAGTTAGTGTTACTGCTAAATCTGAGTAAGTAATTCAGTGCTATATCTCAGGCAATGTGACGCATGAAGTCGGTCTCAATGAATATGCCGATTTACCGAAAGAAGTCTTTAATGACATCTTGAAGTGCGACTTTGCTCCAAAACCACATACACCGATGATCCGAGCAACAGCCATTCCCACCGGTGAGACTCGGTTTATCTAACAGATACGACTATTCCTCTTTAGTCCCGCAGGATTCCTTTGAGGTAGGAGATTATCCTCCATCGGTAGACTGGGAAGCTGCAGGCGCTCTGGCACCCGTAAGACGCCAATCGGGTGACGTAAAGAAATGTGGAAGCTGCTACGCAATTGGGGCCGCTGGTAGCAATGCGTTGGCATTTTTTCTCCATGATATACTTACCTAGCGGTTCGTAGCATGCGTATTCCAGTTCTTACACCGCTCGTCTTTCTCAGTCGTTATGGAGAGTCGTTTCAAGATCGAACTCTCACAGCCTAGAGTCGTACCTTTCTCCGTTCAACAGTTGGTTGACTGCAGTACAACATACGGCAATCGGTGAGTTTCATGGTTCGGCCCGAGATCTATTTCGCCTGTACCCCCTCCCATCGAAGCCTCCATCAAGCCAATTCTACGTTTCTCATTCTGTGAGTATCCTTCGAGTTGACGGGTCTACTGATGGCGTCAGTTGTAGATCCGTCTTTCTAACACTCACTGTATCCCTTATTGCAAAGCTCTTCGATATATGAGGAAGGAATTACGATTGAATTATATTTTTGGGACCTTCCGAAGATCATCTTCGTCGTCTTCCCGATGTAACTCTGTTGCAGGGGCTGCGATGGAGGGCGAGCTCAAGAGGCGTTTGCGTACTCGAAGGCGGAGGGCATTGTGAAGGAGTCCAGCTACCCGTATATGTTCGAGGGAGGCCCATGCAAAGAGAGTGTCATTAAGAACCCCCAAGATCAATGCATTAGAGTGAATCCTCTAGCGGCTTATCAAGATAGTTGTATTTGTGATAATCACTTCAGCCAGGCGACATAGTGCATCTTGTCTCCAAACCGAAGGCGAATGAGGAGGCGATGGTAGAGGCCGTGGCGAGGGGGCCTGTGCCCTGTAGCTTCGATTCGAAGCTAATTGCCCTCGGGACCTTCCATTGGAAGGCTTCCAAGCTGCGCACCCAAACCTTACCATTGATGGCCGCCAAGTAATGGACATGCGTGTCGACCTCTCTGATGATGTATAAGTCGCGATCAGGAAGTTTCTGACACGAATCGCTCCACATCGAACGCTCTCTCGCATGATATCATCGTAGCATGCCAGAATACTATTGAATGGATAGTACGAATACATTCGCCCCTGGATTCCCTGATAATTTTGTGTCTAGCGTCACTCCACTGATATCAAGTTCAATAAGAGCCTTTTTTGCGCTGCTTGATTGAAGCTCGAATATGAGCTACATGAGTTTTACTGCTAGCTCCGTTAGTCTGACCAACTTGGTCACCGAGGGATAAAGCGGCATGCTCTTGATGATAGTCGAGTCGACTGAGTCGACAACTAGAACTATTATCATAGGACAGCACTCGGTGACCTATCAAAATGAAAATGATCCACTTACTCGGAGCAAGTCATGCCGTACTACGGCAGCCAGTAGCTCAGACTTGGTTTCCAGCATTCACAGGAAGGCTAAACTGCGGTGGGGTCAGATGGAATTATCCTGATGAGACGCGACGACTCCAAGAATCTGAGCTTCATAACAGTCAAAATGGCGAAACACGACTCCAAGTTTGCTTCAAGCAGTCCTTCTCCCAGATTCTCTTGAATGACCCTCATTCATCAACGCAACAGCAAACTTGATGACAGGTCTGGGAATACCTTGCATAGCATGGTTAGCTCCTATATGAAGTGTGTGTCGGCGTCCGCCTGTATGTAGATAATCCGCCTACAATCAAGTGTAGAGACATGAGCTACAGTGCGCTGCATTTCGCACCGTTGCAAGACGTATCTTCATCGTCCAAGCTCAACTTCAATTTGCCTCCCTTGAGCCTTAAGGAGATTCTCCAGAATAACAGCGGCTTCCTTGTCCTGAAGTGAACCACTCAGCGAATCACAGTTGGACCTCTCAGTGACGTGAATGTAGATGGCATCGCCGGCCACAATTAGATACCAGCAGCTCTTACATTCGCACTGTAAGGCCCTGTTTCCGAGAGAACGCCTAGGGCTGTTCGGCCGTCCCTGAACAATTGACATGATGGAAATTCTCAAGACATGGAGTTTGTTTGTGAGTTTAGACTCTTAACGCTCCTCCGCCGCGACTCCAATGGCAATGGCCGATAGCTTCCTCACTTATGCCCTCTATTGGGGTCTGCTCCAAGAGCCAACAGCTCGAAGACTAATGGGGGTTTTCTCTGTTGCACCGCTAGAGCTAGTGCAGTGAAGCCGAACATCCGAGACCTGAACAGGTCATACTATTTAAAAGGACGACTCACAATTTTAGCTGTACCAATATAGAGGTTGTAAAATAGATTGATAGAATTTTGATATAGGATACTCTTCTGAACAGAGAACGTTAAATATAGAAAATTCTAATACTAAGTCGGCCCTCTGATGTAGTAATATTCCCATCATCAGTTTGGACATGCAATGGGTGATCTATCGCATGTCCCAACGATCCATAGGAGTGAAACTCGCATTGATAAATCGTAAAAGTTTCGTGATGGGGCTACTTCATGATGCATGATTCCATTAGAGAATCCATCAAGCTCCTCGGATTTGGCCAGAGGCCATTTGGCTGGATCGAGGCCTTGAATGGGGCACACACGTTTTAGAGTGCATAGGACGTGCCAGAACACCGGACGGCCGCGCGCGCGACTCAGTCGAGGGTTGATGGGCATGCGTGTTCCGTGAGGGAGAGGGATTGACCCAACAAAGGCGTGTCCGATACTAGGTCCTCATCATGAGCAGCGTTACAGGTTCGATTCCCACACTAGCCGAGATTGGCCACGGTGCACCTGACTCGGCAAACCGATGCTGACAGGCCCCACTGGTTCATGGGTCATAGATGGAATACAAATCGTGAGGTAGGCAGTATATCATTACCCGTCACAATGTGATGGAGTCTGGCCCAGAGGAATCGTTGGGATCGCAGACCGTCTGATATCTCAACGATCCCTTCGTTTTGGAGCTCAATGATCACCCCACGTTCAGCATTCAAAGCCCCAATCAGGGGGGGCAGCAGCCAGCAAAGCCTGGTTAAAGACAAGATGCACAGACAGTGCGCAAGAGCATCAGCAGACAGTGGCTACACGAGGAACTGGAATATCAGCCCACAAGAGCCTAAAGCCCTTCGCTGCCGGGAAGCCTTGGATGTTGTTGTTGCGAATCCACGGCTTCATGCTCTCTATATTTCGATGACAGTAGGCCCAGATAACACCATAAGAATCACCGCCGTTATTGAAGATGGGCTGGTTGCCCAATTGTCGCATTCCGCAAGGCATCTATGCTGTGATTGAAGTAGAGTAGTTAAGCTAAGGCTAGCCGGTAGGGACCCAACCGTGTGGTCGCCTCGGGAGTGGTCGACCCTTTCGCCGAGCGAAAGCTTGTTGGTGACAATTTGTCGGAGTAGAGGTTATCTGGTTCACCAGTACGACAGTAATGGGATTGGGCGGACTGAAAGAAATCAAGACTTGATTATCAAGTACGCAGCAAGTAGGCTAGTAGCAATGTCCAGCCAAGAAAGTGGCACGCAGTTCTTCACAGTGTACAGAGTTGTAACCGAAAGTAGGCGCCTTATGAATGACTCAGCAGACTGCGTAACACCTGCAGGAGCGGACCGTGGCGGTGTACGGCAGCATACATTCAATAGGAGACCCACTGGATGTACACGCTGTGGGTGAGAGCCCATATATGGATGTATAGGGAACAAAACAACCGATTCATCACTGAGATTGGGAGGATCCAAAACCAGGAAGTTTCTGGCAGAAACAGAACAGCTAGGAATTCCAGAGTCTTGCACGGTCCGTCAAATGAGAGCATCAAGTCAGGAAAGAGGAAGCATGGTGATCGGGAGAAGCGCGACAGCTGGTCCATATCCAACCACAGTCAGTGCCAGATATCACGGACATACTAATATTGCGGAGAGGATGAAGATATCTTCCTCCATCTACATCAACGCCTCTACTCGGTAGAGTCTAATGACGGAGATAGAGGGAATGATAACTCGGCAAATACAGGTCGGGATCGACCCCGTTTGACATAACACGGCTTCCGGCCACGACCGGAAGGATTTGTACGTGGCTTGGAAAGCTACGCAAGGTATGGCTACAGGGAGCATAAGGTACACAGTCGTCACACATGCACCAAGGAAGGATCAGAAAGCCTTCTCCTTCACCGATGATCAATTACCGTCAATACAGCGAAAGGTCGGGAGAATCGCAATCCGTTGCATAATTCACCACTGGTAATCTTCGGGGGTATCCTAGGCTGACGGCTATCTTGACAACCACGGCTGGTCCAAAAAGTGCCGTTTGAGAAGAACAAGATGATGCTATAGAGGGTAACCGACTTCGAGAGAAAATCCCGGGCGGTCAATAACTACGTCGCGATCAGAGCTACAATCAGTGGCAAAAATCGAGACCGCGTTTGGCCGCAGGGAACTGCATGGTGTTCGCAACTCCTTGCACTATCAACCCGCTCAGAACAGCAATGATCGCAAAAGAGGAGGAAGGTTCGCCTTGGATCTTTATTTCCCCGCGGAGAATTTATAACACCCTATGCCTGCATCGCACAGCAACCTACTTTTCCTCGAGAGTGCAATAGGAGTTGATGTCCATCGAGCAATCTACTACTAACATCTGCAGCACATGTTTGACCTCGGTGAAGTTCTCTCGGGTCACACGTTCGCATACACGATGCACCTAGGGGTAGGTAGCGACGACACTAGACCGAGGCCACGTCTACAAGGTTCTCGCTGCCTGGTAACCTTTTCAATGAGAGCCCCCCGTATCGGGCAAGTATCGCCGCAATTTCAGCATCCAATCTCTCAACACACACGCTGATAAAAATTGAATGAGTCAGACTGGGTACCTGGTCACGAGGGCATCATCTACACGTCTGGATGGACATGCGACTACGAAATCTCCCGGCTGTGCTGCAGCTAAGATTTCCTTCACATCGTCAACTGAGCGGTCATCGCAAGCTCGCCGCAGAGCAAAAGAGGACATGTAGCTAGCATACACGATGGAGAGAGAATTAGAACAATAACGACAACCAAACATCAAATAATCGTCAGAGCCCGCCGCATTCCTGTTGTTAGTACACACTGTTACCTACCAGTCTTTGCCAGCAATAGGATCCTCGGCTTTTAGTCCCTCGATTCTATACTCTTCAGCCTGCGCG